TCAGTAGAGAACTAGCCTTGTGCACTGCAGATAAGCATGTAGAAGAATATATGATCATTGAAAGTAATCTTGAAGAGAATAATTACCTTAAGTAGCTTATCAGGAAATATAGAAAATTGGAAACATCTCTCCGTGAGTGATTTAGTAGCTTGCCTTGACAATGTAGTCTGTGATTGGTTGTTTCCTTTGATTGTTGTATCATTAACTGACTACAGATTTTTCTGTTTGACCTCTGACCTTTCTGTCGTTTATCATCTTTCTTATTGGTTGATAGGTTGGGTCTATGTCTATACATCTATTGATTGCTGACTGACTGACTGACCTGAATCCCAAGCTTCTAGGAATTCTCTAATATACTTTGTCTTTTCTCTCTCTGTCCAAAATTTCTACATTGTTAAAATTAAATTCATGTCCATGGTTGTTATCCACGTGCATTGAAATGAGTGATGAATGTCGTGGTGTTTACTAGCCAATTGGTGTTCATGTAGACGAAGGTGAAGATGCCGACCACTTTGTTCAATGTAATGTTGACTACAGTTATTGCAGTTGATTTTGTAAATGATCTTCGGTTTGTCTTCTTTGGTTGTTGCATCCTTTGGTGTGTTTGGAGGGAATTTGTTGGTTCATGAGCCACACCAATTCCAAGTGATCGCAGCAATCTTGTTGTGATTTCTGACATATTCATTATGTGTGGTAGAATGATGGGTTTGTTGATTTCTGTTGATGACTTTGTAGTTGATGATGTACGGGACAGGCATGTCGTGATAAAGTTTTGTGGGTAGCCGTTCTTCTTTAGGATGAAGTTGTTGTGCTGCAGTGTGTTCTTGCTCCTTTGAATAGAGTCTGCACGCAACTGATTTTGTGTTTTGTTGGGTTGTTGCTATTGTAGTTGAGGATTTGGTCAGTGTGTGTTGGCTTCCTGTACACTTGGGTTCCAGCTTCCCCGTATTTGTTCTACTGACTAGAACATCCAGAAATGGTAGTTGGTTTATTGACTCTTTCTCCATTGTGAATTTGATGTCACTGAAGAAACTGTTGTAATTAGGCGATTATGATCCAATCTCTGTTTCATCTCTCAGTAATCTCCATTTTATTTACGCTTTATTTTCCATCACACAAATCTATTGTGTAGCTGTTTTATTTCCTCCTCATTATGACACCTTTTAAAGTGGTTATTCACCACGAACTGACATGAGTTGAGGAACCAATGGGGATCTGTAGACACTGAACAGGTGTTTCGTCCTAGTATGGGACTCCTCAGTGACATGCAGACACAACCCCGACCCCACACACACTCAGGGGTCAAACTCAACCGTCAGGTTTCATGGTGGACGTATCCACTATTCAATGGTCCACAAAATCTTACTTTTGTCAATTGACGATATAGCGTGACTATCCGTCAAGACCGTCAGTTAGCTAACCCTAAAGATTATGACTCCTTATAAGAACTTCACGATATCTTCAATTGATGTTAGTTCATGATACATACTACCTTGAAGATAATATCCACATTGACCTCAAACTAAACTTCATATTTATTTGTTGATGATAACTTTTGTGACTTTGGGCTGTTTGCTGCTGATGAGAACCTGTGAAACAAAAATGTATGGATTTTATGGTTAAACTTATCGTACGAATCAAACTCATTAAGTTATTTGAGGTTTGTGGCATGCCTGACCGTGATTATTATCGTATGATTATATTGTTCTATGATTAATTCATCCAGTTTGTCTACTAACACTCAGTCAAGTTTCCTTCTAACTTGAACAGTTGTCATATTCCTTAAGTATTATTCTGTTGGTAATTTAGTTGGTTGTGGCTAGCAGAGGAATCCAGGACGCGCGTTTCGTTCTTTTTGGGACTCATCAGTTGGATGTACCTGCATCTCAGTGAACAGTGTCGTTCCCACTGAGACTTAAAAACAACTTGTACGTGTTACCTGTATTGAATAATTAGATAGTGAGCTTGGTCATTCAATATTTGTATACATAAATTAAATTGGTTCGGTAATGGTAATTACTACAGACTTTATTAAACTTAATAATCAGTGATGTATTTTGATGACACTTTGTATAGAATAACCTCGCCTGGTTAACTAGTTCACTAGTTACTAGCAGGTCTTAAGCTTGGGTAAAGAGGGAAGGTTGGGCATAGGGCTAGCAATCCTACCCCATAAAACTAAAGCACAGATAAAATATTTTAAAAAACTTTCCAAATATGCAGAAGGAAATGGAAATGGATTGGACATGCACAAAGAAGAATATTCGGGGACATCACGTGTCAGACCAGGCCGTTGAGTGAAACTCAGATGGAAAACGACCAGTTGGGCGTCCGAGATGAAGATGACATGTAGGAGATGATGTCAGGAAGAAATGAGAGCTTGTGGGCAGTTAAGGAGCCAGATTGAAAAGATTGCAGAGCTGAAAGTGGAATGGAGACGTGCTGCTGAAGCTCTATGTTCCACTAGGAAACCATAGGATGAATAATAATAACTGTGTAGAATGGTAAAAAGGAATGTTTAACAATCTTAAATACTATAACCACTAGATGTGTAAGTACTGAGCTTTTCAATGGAGTTCATTGCTTATATAAGGCCTTTAGTGAGGTGATGATGGATTCGACTGGTTATTCTACCCATGTAAGTATCTCCATTGGAGCAGCTGTAGTTACCTTTGTATTTACATGTGACTAAAATTGACAGCCTATCCACTAAATGACTTGGCATCACACAGTGAGTAGCTAATTCCAAATAACTGTAAGATGACTTCCTCGATACTATCTCAAGATTCTCTTCTGCAGAAGTTTTCATGATAGCAAAACTTTGTGAGGTATACACGATAGTTATTCTCTGAAAAAATAATATATCATTGCTAGATATGTTCTTCACCAGATAAACGTATGAGTAAATTAAGCAGAATATATTTCTAAACCACAAATGAATTCATCAAAATCATCATTTCCTGATTGCGGTGGACTGGACCAGACTGGATTATGCAACAAACTGTGGAGAGCGAGAAGATGAGCATACGCTGCTCAACCCATAAAAAGATAAAGACACTAAAAGATTAAGATTTCGCCAACAATGATGATTTATGTCTAATGTCTTGTCGCACAAATTCGAAGTTTGCAGAAGAGGAGAGGCGAGGGAGCAAAGATGAAACATCCTTCAGGTGAACGTAAACAAGACACAGGAGATGAAGATACCAACAATAACAACAAGCATCAATCAACATGACAGGGAGAAATGTAAAGGAAGTTCTCACATTCACCTACCTACCTACCTACCTACCTACCTACCTACCTACCTACCTACCTACCTACCTACCTACCTACCTACCTACCTACCTACCTACCTACCTACCTACCTACCTACCTACCTACCTACCTACCTACCTACCTACCTACCTACCTACCTACCTACCTACCTACCTACCTACCTACCTACCTACCTACCTACCTACCTACCTACCTACCTACCTACCTACCTACCTACCTACCTACCTACCTACCTACCTACCTACCTACCTACCTACCTACCTACCTACCTACCTACCTACCTACCTACCTACCTACCTACCTACCTACCTACCTACCTACCTACCTACCTACCTACCTACCTACCTACCTACCTACCTACCTACCTACCTACCTACCTACCTACCTACCTACCTACCTACCTACCTACCTACCTACCTACCTACCTACCTACCTAGGCACCATCGTCTCAACTACACGTAGCACTGGCACATATGACGATATCGAAGCCAATCAGCATCGAAAACACAGCAAGACACGCCTTGTTGCATTATTCCGAAATAAACAGTGTCCAGATCTACACCACTGTACTGTACTGCACTACACTGCACTACACTGCACTCAGCATCAAGCGTGAACAACATTGGGAGTTTGAACACTAATTCAGTAAACTTCAAGTCAGTGCTTCTATGTGGTGATTTACGCGTTGCGATGATCTTCCTCATTGTAGTGAGCTCGATCATGCAGCAAACAGTGATGAGCGAGAAGATGGGGATACGATGGACCGCGCAAAAGATCCTAGAAGATTTGGTTTTCGTCGACGACTTGTGTCTGATGTCACACAAACTTGAAGATCTACAGGCAAAAACTAACAAGTTAACGAAAGAGGCAGGGAAGCCAAGGAAGGCGGGACTTCAAGTGAATGTAGAGAAGACACAGCTGATGAAGATACCAAACCAACACCACCACCACAAACAAGAATAAGTTCCAATCACCATCAACGAGAGAAACTTATAGGAAACAGACTCTTTCATCTACCTACCTACATAGGCAGCATCGTTTCAACTACAAGTGGAGGCACAGGCATAGACAAGGACGTCAAAGCCAGCCAGAATCGGAAAGACAGCAAGACAGGCATTGATTAACCTGAAAGCGTTGTGGAGATCTTCTGCACTGCACTCAGCATAAAGTGTGAACAACATCCGGATTTTCAACACCAATACCAGTCAAGTCAGTGCTTCCATGTGGTGGTTGAGAGACTTGGTGGGTTACGAAAGGGATTTCCAACAAACTGCCGATATTCATCAACAACTGCCACCTACACTGTCTCGTTACTGAAACTCAGATGGCCAGAATGATAAGGGTGAGCAAGAAGGAACTCATTGTGTCTGGCAACGAACCAACCCTAACCTATCGCTGAACAAATATGCAGTGGAGGGAAGTGTAGATGCATTGGGTAGACATTGAGATGACCATTCGTGGACATCACGCACCATTCCAGACCAGGCACTCGAGTGGAAGTCAGATGGGAAACGGTATGTTCCACTAGGAATCCAAGGGACACATGATTATGAACACTTAATATTTATGCCTGGTGTGTTATCATGTAAACAGTAATACTAGATCATTGTGTGTTATATTCTAATCTATTCTAATGAAATGTTATAACCTACCTCATTTAATCCAGAATAATAATTCCCCCCCCCCCTCTAAATAAAAATGAATATCTTTGTTACTTTTTTTAGCCGTCAAAACTCTTCTGTTTCTATTTGATATTATCATTTCAATTAATAGTGGATTATGTCTAGATAATGGATTGGCTAGAACACCACCAATGGGTTGGATGTCATGGCAACGTTTTCGATGTCAAATTGATTGTCAAGAATATCCATATGATTGTATTAGTGAAAAATTAATTCAACGTACTGCAGATAAATTAATTTTAGATGGTTGGAGAGATTTAGGTTATAAATATATAATAATTGATGATTGTTGGCAATCTCGAGAAAGAGATAAGAATACAAATGAAATTATAGCAGATCCTAATCGATTTCCTAATGTAAGTTGATGAAATATCTTTTGTTCACGTTTTTTTTTGTCATGATATATACTCAGATAATACAAATAGTAAAAGGATTATAAATTTTGATGAAGCGAATCACTCTGGTAACCTTTACTGTCGATGAACAAACTATAATATTTGAAGTAGATTATACATTTATTTATTTGTCCCTTGGGTTCCTAGGGGAACATGCGACTTCAGTAACATATAGCTTTCCAACCTAACTCCACAACTCTCAATAAGCTTTCATTTCTTCCTCACACCATCTCCTCTATGTCACTCTCCCACGCCCAACTCATCCTTTTTCATGTAGCTCCGGCCTGGCACGTGATGTTCTCAAACCGTCTTCTCAGTCTATGTCAAATCAAATCCATCTCTATCTTCTCCTACTGAATATTTGATATACGACAGCTTCTTGCTTCGTTGGTTTGTTCGTTAACAAAGTGAGTTTCTTGTCTATCACCCTTATTATTCTGACCATCTCATCTGATCTTCAGTGTCAGTATCGAGTGAGTGTAGGCAACAGCTGTTGATGGTGTATGCGTGCAGTTGGTTGGAAATGCTTTTGTAACGCGTCAAATCTCTCAATCACTATATAAAAGCACTGACTTGAAGTTGACCGAATTAGTGTTCCAACTCCCAATGTCGTTCACGCTTGATGCTGAGTGCAGTGTAGTGTAGTGCAGTACAGTACAGTGGTGTAGATCTGGACACTGTTTATTTCAGAATAATGCAACAAGGCGTGTCTTGCTGTGTTTTCGATACTGACTGCCTTCGATATCGTCATATATGCCTGTGTTAGGTAGGCAGGTGAATGAGAGAACTTCCTTTACATTTCTTCCTGTCATGTTTATTGATGCTTGTTGTTGTTGTTTCTGTTTTGATATCTTCATCTCCTGTGTCTTGTCTACGTTCACCTGAAGAAAGTGCAGTCTTCGCTGTCATGCCTGTTCTGCGAACTTGTTAGTTTACGCCTACAGATTGTCGCCTTTATGCGACAGGATATTAGTCATAAATCATCATCTGCGAAATCAATAGTGCATCCATTGGAAATCAGCCAGCCAATACCAGAGTATGCGCATGTATATGTATGTGTGTACACCAGAAGCAGTAGTAGTAGTGTGAGTAGTAATGTAAGTAGTATTGTGAGTAGTGGTAGCAGTAGTGAAGAAGCAGAAGATAACTCGACGAGGGAATGCTTATTACCAACAGTTGGAATGGTAGTGGTTACATATGGTACTCGTTGCACTAACGCAGCCATTTGCAAATGTCTTCGTTTCCTCTCTGTTCCTGTCTTGATTTGCTCTTGACCGGCTCTTCATAAACTCTTATCAGCAGCATCCCCTGTAATACGCCTGTGTTGTCCCCTGCCTTGCTCTTGGCAGAAACCTTACCCATTGCCAGTAACTCCTTATGATTCCTGCCACCCTCTTCATTTATGCTACTTATATTCGTTGTTATCAGCAACGCCCACCATAGTAGTAGTAGTAGTAAAATTTTTGGTTCAAGTGAATTTTATTGACGGCGAATCTGGTTCATGTCTGCACTCACCAACCACAATCAGTGTGGTAGTTTTAACCCTACGGTTATTCTCAGTTTAATTCGTCGCTGGAATTTTTTTGAACTGAATATACTACTGTACAGCGTGAGTAGTTCAAATTTGACAGCCAGATTAGAGTTATCCAAAGAGTTTTGTGGACATAACTATCGACCTTTTTTCTAGATTTCACTTATCATGATAACCATTCCTCCAGTAATACCTACTTGCCTTAAAGTAACTAATCTTTAAGTGTTTGTAAATGAAACGTGAACCTCCTTCACTTTGTAGAATATGGCCTTAATAAAGCTTTCTCTTGTCGTAAGGAAATCGGAAGGAGTTTTCTTTAAACTACATCACATCACTGTTCTTTATAGCTTTTAAGAAAGTAGAGGTCTTACTATGACAGTTTGAATAATATCGCTTCTTAAATCCTAGGAACTGGACAAAGGTGTATCGCTCAAACCTTCATACTTCAATAAGTCTGAAACATAGATATAATTAAAGACGCCATATACTTATCAAATGTAGTGTTCTGAATGTGGCATTTGATGTTGTCGATAAAGGAGTGTTAAGTCGATGATTGACTATGCAGAGTAGACCGAATATGAATATTATGCTGATTATGAACTTCCAGTTTGGAGGTGAGATGTACTGACCAGTTATCTCAGCTTAGATCCAGGAAGCAGGCTGCATATTTTGAACATAATGATTTTCATTTTGTTGGTTTTATGTGGTGAAATCATCATATGAACGATATGAGTTTGGGTGTAGAGTATTAGACAAAGAAGACAAGTCAGCCTCCACCAAGTAACGTTGCGTACACTTTCGTTGTTCATGCCAAGTGGCATCACCTACATCGATGTACGGTTTCAAGAAAAACAGCATAGAAATGGAAGAAAGCTAAGAATGACCAGGCCAATACATGACACCAGTTTTCAAAGTAATTAACTGCTGATTCGAGTTATGTTTGGAGGTTTAGACTGACTGACGAGAATTCTTGGGATGAGTTTCTTAACGACATTGACAAAAACTGGACATAAAGGGGACAGTTCAACACATTACTTATCGTTATCGAAGGCTGGAAACTTTCCACTGACCCCAATCTACTTGACCTTGGCAATATTACACACCTTTTTTCTGCTTTAATCTCATTCTCTTTTCAATGTTTCTTATTTTTCAACTGATGTGAGGTGTGGCAATGCAAGATGATGGGCAAAATTCCTATTATCATTTGACTATCTGAGATAGATGTAGTTTGGCAGACTGGTATTGATACTGGGTAGTGATTGAAGGTGAGATGGAAATCTGGACGGCGGCCGGATTCGAACCAGCGACCACCAGGTTACCGGCCCAGTACTCTACTAACTGAGTTACGAGGTCCGACCCAGTGGTTGCTGGTTCAAATTCGGCCGCGATTCAGATTTTCATCTCACCTTCAATCATCATTTAGTACAACGTTTTTCTGTTGTGTATTCGTTTTCCGTTCCTTCGCACATCTATCCCCAGGATTCAGGATAGACAGCTGCCACCATGATGTTGTAGTCAGTTTTGGGTATCAAAATGATCCAACGAGCTTACACTAATTAAAACACTTGCTTTCTCGAGGTCCTACCATGTTGGAAAGGTGAAAAGCAGTTACCATTGTAGTGTAAACTACAATACTATGATCGGGGGTTCTCAGGGCGAAGTCATACTGCTGCTAGTTAGGTGGAGTGTGACAGCAATAAGTCAGTAGTGCTGCTTTCCCTACAAGGAATTAGGTGGTTAAAGGCCGGTTGCGAAAATCGCACACTTTCCCCTACCTTGCGATTCTCCGATGCCAGAGGTATGGGTTTTATAATGGAGTGTTAATTTGGTGAGTTCGGAGGTCATAAACCGATACCATTTTCTTTTCCGGCCTTTAAAGAAAAATTAAGCTTCCACGGTATGGAAAACCAGGCAGTTTCAGTCGTCTTCACACCGTTATCAGCCGTTTACACCTTCACATTCTAATCTGTCCTTACACCTCTTGGTCAACATTCTTAAGGCACGATTTATATGTTCCAGCTCTGCAGCCCATGACAACGATTACGGTTTACAAAACAGCATCTCTTGTCTCTTGAAACCGTGCTGCAAATGAAATATATGGGCTTTCAATGTCTATATCCTCCATCAAATCGACTAACAAGCTTTCCTTGCTAAAATTCTTCCACCCTGGGCTACAGATAAGTGTTGTGTCTGTAAAACACGTATACAGCACCAAAGTGCGGTTATTCACTTGATCTCATCTGGTCAATGTACTAAATCTGAGAAATTCACCCTACAAGTTCCTGTCTCTTTGTTTCTGAAGGTCCGGTGACTAGTCCTCCTTGTGTTCCAAGTGAGGCAGAAAGTGCGCTGTTCATTAGGATCCAAGGTGATAGTCACCTATGTACTATTCGCCCAAATGGCATAGCATGAACTAGAAGGGTTGGTGAAACTCTACCGACGTCACTTCAGTTTTGGACATAGACCACGTCACTATGAGTTATCACTGGAGAGGATCGGTGGTTAATTACCATTCCTTCTGCAATATATGTGTTTAGAAAGTGATCGTGTGTTTGTTCAAGAATAAGTATGTCTGTGCCTTAGCAGGCATGGAAAATCTACCATGACAAAACTAATCTAACCAGTCCATGATGAATAATACTGTCTCTAAATGAAGGATTAGTTTAAACAACACTATAGACGTTATCAACACAATTTATCGGTTACAAAAAGGGAAAATAAACTAACAATGAAAGTCAAAACCTGTGTATGGAACACATTCATCCAAGTAGTTAGGTGTTATTAATTAGAATGGAATGCAAGTGACTTTAAATGCCCTTCTAGCACCTTTGGAAATAACCAATCAGGTTTCGGTTTCATGAAACTGAGAAATTTCATTGGGTGAAAGTTAGCGATGAAGAACTTTTAAAGCATAGGTGTATTATGATGCCTAAGGTAGTGCAGATGACTAATATGTTATAACAGAATAGTAATTTAATATACTATCTTCTTGTCCTGACGGCTGGACTAATTTTCTGGTCTTAGCTTAGGTTAGGACTTCCTATTGGGTCCTCAAATTAACGGACAGGAAGAAATGTTTCACATTAGTCCTAACTAGTATAATTGCCAAATTGCCCGACTAACAATAGCGAGTGAATTAGTTGACTGCATTGAACACTTTACTGATCTGGAAAGTTGGATCAACCCTGCTGGCTTATTGTCCGACGAAACCTCTGTACGGTGAAAAAAGGCTAGGTTGGAGATTGCCAACTTACTCCATCTGTAGTGTTGTCACGATATCCGATAGTCTATTAGGAGTAGAATGTACTCTACTGCAGTCCGCTCTATGGCTGTGAAACGTGGGTATTAAAAGTGGAAGACATAAGAAGGTTCCAGATGTTTGACCACTACTACTTTCGAAGCATAGACCATGTTTCTTGGTATCACCACGTGAGTAACACAGAAGTTAGGTGTGCAGTTTAAGGCAGGATAAGTAAGACAGTTGATATGGTTGTGAACCCTCATCGACTGAGATTGGCTGACTGGGACATGTGTGACGTATGTTTAACTGTCGTCTACCACGTCGTACAATGTTAGCAGAAGTAGGTTCAGGTTGGAAAAGGGCTCAGAGTGGCCAGACTAAAACATTGGATCAATGCATAAATTCCTTAACTGTTTGTTTGAGCTATGTAAGGCGACGCAAGCTAGTCGGTTGGTGTCTACGGGATAAGAGAAACCAGTGCTTGAAGACTGACTGTAGATGATATGGGTAGGAATCGATGTCACGTATAATAACATTACCCTCATCTTAACTACTATACTTACTCTCATCATCTTCTGACTTTAAGATAAATCAGAGTTAAATTGTTAGGTTACACCATGCACACTTATATTGTATACAGTGAAGGTGGAAAGCTTTGAAAGCATTGGTGATCGGAGCAGAATATCAATGACTGGGAACAAAGACGGTACACATGAAGAACATTCACATTGGTTGTTTATAGATCACATTATTTCCGGGTACAAATTATTATTATTATTATTATTATTTGTCCCTTGGGTTCCTAATGGAACATACCGCTTCAGTAGCACACCTCCAATGCTCTCTGTTCTCTGAAATCTTTTGAAATTCGCTCCACGACAACCTACAAGGTCTAATTTCCCCGTAGCACGATCTCCTCCATATCATCCTCACATCAGATGCCCAACTCACCGTTTCCCATCTGACTTCCACTCGAGTGCCTAATCTGGAATGGTGCGTGATGTCCACAAATGGTCATCTCAATGTCTACCCAATGCATCTACACTTCCCTCCACTACATATTTGTTCAGCGATAGGTTACGGTTGGTTCGTTGCCAGACACAATGAGTTCCTTCTTGCTCACCCTTATTATTCTGGCCATCTGAGTTTCAGTAACTAGACAGTGTAGGTGGCAGTTGTTGATGAATATCGGCAGTTTGTTGGAAATCCCTTTCGTAACCCACCAAGTCTCTCAACCACCACATGGAAGCACTGACTTGACTGGTATTGGTGTTGAAAATCCGGATGTTGTTCACACTTTATGCTGAGTGCAGTGCAGAAGATCTCCACAACGCTTTCAGGTTAATCAATGCCTGTCTTGCTGTCTTTCCGATTCTGGCTGGCTTTGACGTCCTTGTCTATGCCTGTGCCTCCACTTGTAGTTGAAACGATGCTGCCTATGTAGGTAGGTAGATGAAAGAGTCTGTTTCCTATAAGTTTCTCTCGTTGATGGTGATTGGAACTTATTCTTGTTTGTGGTGGTGGTGTTGGTTTGGTATCTTCATCAGCTGTGTCTTCTCTACATTCACTTGAAGTCCCGCCTTCCTTGGCTTCCCTGCCTCTTTCGTTAACTTGTTAGTTTTTGCCTGTAGATCTTCAAGTTTGTGTGACATCAGACACAAGTCGTCGACGAAAACCAAATCTTCTAGGATCTTTTCCGTGGTCCAGCGTATCCCCATCTTCTCGCTACTCACTGTTTTTTGCATAATCCAGTCGACCACAATCAGGAATATCATGGGTGATAGTAGACAGCCTTGTTTCACTCTTGTCTTCGATAATGAGAGTCCATTTCACCTTCAATCATCACCTAGCATAAATACTAGTCTGCTAAACCACAACTATCTCAGATATTCATTAATAATATTTAAAGTATTGTCGTTTTTCCAGGATTCAGAAGCGAAGGTTGTGGTGCTTGGGCACGTTGCTGAGGGATATAACAGTTTGGAACGTAAGGATAGGAAGGAGATTTGTGAGTGAATGACTGGATTCGGAGTTTGACAAGCCAAGGAGCTGGCGATATAAAAATTCCTGAGCACAAAACTGGCTCCATTACATCACCCACTTATGTCCACTACAACCTTATGTATAGACGACTAGAATAGTTTACAATGAAGTCTAGTCTGAATCGGATTTTCTTCTAGGATTCATATAATAATAATAATAATCCATGTATTGTCTTTAATCCTTTTGTTTGTTGACTAATCCAATTTCTTTTTTTTATTCCATACATCTAATAGGGTATTAAAACCTTGCAAAATATATTCATTCAAAAAATTTACTCTTTGGTATCTATCTTGATTATGGAAGTTTAACATGTGAACATTATCCTGGAAGTATGAATTATTTAGAAATTGATTCGAAGAGTTTAGTTCAATGGACTGTTGATTATGTTAAAATGGATGGATGTTATAGTCCTATTGAAAAAATGCCTAATGGTTATGAAAAATTTTCACAATTAATTAATTCAACTGGAAGATATATAATATTCTCTTGTAGTTATCCTGCATATATACCATGGATAAATAATCCTAAATTAATTGATTGGATAAAATTACAAAAAAATTGTAATCTTTGGAGAATGTTTGGTGATATACAAGATAGTTGGTCATCTGTTGTCTCTATAATAAATGCATATATCATTACAAATGATATATTACCAAGAATAGGTGGTCCAGGACATTGGAATGATCCTGATATGTTATTATTAGGTAATTATGGTTTATCAAATGATCAAAAACGTGTACAAATGGGTATGTGGTGTATGTTTGCAGCTCCATTGCTTATATCAGCTGATATGGATAAATTAGATGATATAAGTGTATCATTATTAAAGAATCCACATTTATTAGCAATCAATCAAGATAAAGGTGGACATCAAGCAGAATTTATCAAAAAAATTGAGAATAATATACAAGTAAGATTATGTTTAGTAATCATTATGTAAATGTAACGATATGAGATAGTATTAGTACCCAGTATCAATCAATACATGTCTAATAAACCACGGGTTTCTATCTCTCCCATTTGTTTGGGATGAGAAGTCCTGATTGAGCACAGCCAGTGTGAATATGGTCAAGCGATAATGGTAACATGTCACATGGTAGTGAGATAAACAATCTGGTCAGCAATCGAACTTTGTAGCTCAGTTGGTGGAGCATCAGGCCAGAAACTTGATGGTCGCTGGTTCGAAACCAGCAGTGGTCCAAATTTCCATTTCAATCATCGTACAGTATCAAATGAGAAGTCTATATTGAAGGTCAAAATCATAGTGAAAACCAATTGTACAATATCTTTTGGTTCAAAGCGGAATTCACCTAGGAAGAGTTAGTGTGATGACAAATTGTTTTTGAACGCATAAAATTGGCTTAAACCTCCTTTAATGGCTAATGCTTCAACAAACTTTTAAATACGTCCCCAATGGGTCTTGTAGATGGGTGTAAATGACGTTTATACATCCAGTTTATGCCCCGTTTCAATAATATGTTTAGCTCCGACGCTTGTTTCTGGATTGCAGAATAAAACGAAGAACAGATGGTGGCTTGGATGCTACTGTCTATAGAAAACCAACACATTCCAACAGGTATCTAGACTTCACATCATCCTATTCAATGTCAGTTAAGGCAGGATTAGTCAAATGTCTAAATAACGGAACTAGAAAACTGACTAGTCAGAGCAGGTACCTAAACAAGGAATTGAAACACGTAAAAGAAACGCTAATAGTTAATAATTATCCTCCGCAGTTTATTAAGAAATCCGTATGAACACACAAAAAACGAAAAAATAACAGTCACATGAGTGTGACTAATAACGACAACACAAGTAAATAGGAGTTCACAGCCTCCATTGTGTTACCTTATAAGGAAGGTACATCAGAAACTTTACATAGGATCCTCAACGGAGCTGGAGTTTGAGTGGCATTTTAGCTTACAAACTCACTCAGAGATAAACTTTGTCAGCTGGCTTAAGAATCCGATAGAACCAATTAAGCTAAATAATCTAATCTATCAAATTCCATGTAATAACTGTGAGTTAGGTCAAGTATATAGGTCAAACTAGTCGGTCAGGGTCAGTTAGAATAGCTGAACATAGGAATTAAGCTAAACAAAGAATAACAGACCTAAGTAAGATCAATAATCTAGGAAAAACTCAGCTATTGCACTGAATACATTAATACACAACCACACAATAGGGTGGGATAAAGCCACTGTATTTAACTCCAATATAATTAGGTGGAGACAGAGAGAAAGAGAGAGGGAGGGAGAGATTGATTACTGAATCTTTGTTCAGCGAATCAACACCTAGCCAACACATGTAATAGAAATGACGCAACACCTTTCTATACCAGAGATATGAAAAATTTTGCTACCATTATAAACAAGTCGTATAAAGTTACATAACTATAAAAGTCAAATGTTGAAAGTAGTGTGATTACATACTGATGTGATTATGAGCAGTAATAATTTATGCTTGAAACGCCATCAAGTAAATAATACTAGATCACTGTATGTTATAAATCCAATTAAGGGTCAGGTAACTCTGTTTGTTTCTGAAGCCACTTCGGAATACGTTTTATGGCTCTGATTACTTTCAATAAGCAATGAGTCCCCCCCATATACACTTAAATTGGTAAACACAATGCTATGTGACTTTATCTTTCATCTCTTCCAAGGGATTTAATTTTCAACTATCCAAACCTTATGTATAGTAATGATGGGCAGTGGAATCCAGGATGCGCATTTTGTCCTGTTTGAGACCACCTTGTCAGCTGGATGTACCTGCCTCCCAGTCAGTGATGTTGTCTCCCCCCCCCCTCCAGGCTTCGGACTCGGGAGCGATCGCTTCAAACACGACAGCGTTATCTACTACACCACCGAGGCACGATAGCCACTTCTTGTGCGACGGGTATAGGTTTAGTGTTATTACTTGTATTACACCGTCGTTTATTCGACCGAATTGATCAGTCTCTGTTGGCATATGAGCTCGTATGAGGATACCTCAACGACGGTATATTACAAGCAATAACACTAAACCTATACCCGTCGCACAAGAAGTGGCTATCGTGGCTCGGTGGTGTAGTGGATAACACTCTCGCGTTTGTAGTGGTCGCTACCGAGTCCGAATCTGGTTGGGAACAACATCACTCACTGGGAGGCAGGTACATCCAGCTGACGAATGAGTCGCAAATGGGACGAAATGCATACCCTGGGTTCCACTGTTAACCACTACCCATCATTACTATACGTAGTTCAAAGACAGGCAATACCGAGGCATAGGAGCCCATATGCCAACAGAAATTGATCAATTCGGTTCAATCAAAGACGGGCTTCAGTAGAACATAGCCATTTCACTCTCTTCTCTCCAGTCTCTCTTTAATCTGGCTTCACGACTACCCATAAGCGTTCGTTTCTTCCTCACACCATCTCCTTCATGTCACACTTGCAGGCCCAACTCGTCGTTTCCCATTTCAGTTCAGCTCGATGGCCTTGCCTGGCGCCTCATGTCTTCAGACTGTCTTCTCAGTCTATGTTCAATCCAACTAAATCCATCCCCGACTTCTCCTTCTGCATATTTGTTAGGTGATACGTTCTTGCATCGTTAGTTGGTTCGTTGACAGAGTGAGTTCCTTCTTGCTCACCCTTATTATTCTGACCATCTGAGTTTCAGTAACGAGACAGCGTAGGTGGCAATTATTGATGAATATCTGTAGTTTGTTGGAAATGCTTTTCGTAACACGCCGAGTCTCTCAACTACCACATGGAAGCACTGACTTGACTGGTATTGGTGTTGAAAATCCGGATGTTGTTCACGCTTTATGTTGAGTTCAGTAGCTTACCACACTGGCCTCAGATTAATGAAGAGTAGCCTATCTTGCTTTTTCGATCCTGGCTTTGACGTTCTCATCTTGTTTACATTAAATTTAGATATAAAAGTAATTTTTACTATCTTTTTCAGTTATGGTTACGACCATTAGATAGTGATCCAATTGGTTGGGTTATAGCCTGTGTCAATTTAAATGATGGCGGTGGACCAATTCATATTTATGTCAGTCTTGATGATTTCAAATCGAAAAGTTATACAATATCTGGAGACAGATTTGAACTATTAGATGTATTCAATGAGAATAAAATGAAAAATATTGAAAAAACAAAGAAATTTATGATTCCTATTAATCCATCTGGAATAATGATGTATCGAGTGAAAGAGACAACATTATAATCATCATCATCATCATCATTAAAATAATGGAATAACTTTCAATTATTGTTCTCTCTTGTTAACACACTGCATTTCGTATAAACCCTAAAATAAAGCTCAACTTAATCTGATTATTAAAGTATTAAATGACCCTCTTTTACTGAAAGAAAAAATTAAACAATAATATCCATTCAGTTTTGTTTTTATAGGATATTGGAGATTGAACATTCAGGCTTACCACTTTCCATATCAGATTCGAAGTAGCCGTCGTCAACATACCTTATTACTATTATTACCATTTATACCTAGGGTTCCTAGTGGAACATACCACTTCAGTAGCACGTCTCCATTACACTGTATTCTCTGCAATCTTTTCAACCTGGTTCCACGACTGCCAACAAGCTCTCATTTCTTCCTCATACCATCTCCTACATGTCACCCTCACCTCGGAAGCCAAACTGGTCGTTTCCCATCTGGGTTCCACTCAACGGCCTGGCCTGGCCTGGCGCATGATGTCCCCAGTCGGCCTTCTCAGTGTATGCCCAATACATCTCCACTGCATATTTGTTAAGCGATAGCTTCTTGCTTCTTTGGTTCGTTAGCAGCCAGCCAGAGTTCCTTGTTGCTTATTCTTTCTCGCCATCTGATCTTCAGTAACGAGCCAGCGTAGGTGGCAGTTCTTGATGAATATCTGTAGTTTGTTGGAAATGCCTTTCATAACGCGCCAAGTCTCTGAACCATCACATAGAAGCACTGACTTGACTGGTATTGGTGTTGAAAATCCGGATGTTGTTCATGCTTTATGCTGAGTGAAGTAGATCTGCACACTGGTTACAGGTTGATGAATGCCTGTCTTGCGGTCTTTTCGATCGTGGCTGGCTTTGACGTTCTCGTCTGTGCCTCGTGTAGTTGAAATGATGCTGCCCTGCCTAGATAGGTGAAAGAGACTACTTCCTTTAGGTTTCTCCTTATTGATGGTGATCGGAGCTTGTTGTTGTTGGTGGTGTTGGTTGGGTATCATCCCCACCCCAGTCTTCTCTACGTTCACTTGAAGTTCTGTCTTCACTTCCCTGCCTCTTCTATCAACTTGTTAGTTTCCGCCTGTAGATCTTCAAGTTTGTGTGACATTGGACATAAGCCATCCGCGAAATCCAAATCTTCTAGGTTCTTTTCCCTAGTCCGGCGTATGCCCCTCTTCTCGTTCCTCACGGTCTGTTGCATGATTCAGTCCACTACAATCAGGAATATTATCCGTGATAGTAAGAGGCAACATTGTCTTACTTTTGCTTGTCTTTACTTCAAAGGCATCACTCAGCTTTCCATTGTGAATTACTTGGCATGTGGCGTCTTCATATAGTTGTTGAATGAGATTGATAAAGGTTTGTGGTATTCCGTTGTGTTGAAGCAACTGCCTGCCAAATTACTTCTCGATCGACGCTGTCGAAGGCATTTTCAAAGTCGATGTGTTCATTGGATGCTGACTATTTTATTCAAATTAACCTCAAAATTTAGGAAGTACAGCTGAGTTCAGTCTATATTAGAGCAAAAATATTTGAAGTTATGACTTTATAGACGTGACCATTCAGTTTCATAAGTCATATCCCGAGTAAGTAGACAGATAGTAGCCACAGTTTGGCCGACTAGTATTTATACTAGGTAATGATTGAGGGTGAAATGAAAATTTGGACCGCAGCCGGATTCGAACCAATGACCACACAGTTTCCGGCCCAATATTTTACCAACTGTGATACAACATATAACTGCTGACCATATTTCTAATTCCACTTCAATCATCAAGAGTTACTTTGCCTGACTACCATGTGAATTCGTCTCCTGTTACTATTGCTTGATAGTGTTCACACTGGTTATCCGCAGCCAGAACTTTTCATCTCAATCCAAATCTAACTGAATTAGAGAGGGTGAATATCATATTGATTATCATTTGGACTACTATCTGAGTGAGATAGCAGCCCCAGTTTGATAGAGTACTAATGAATAATATCAGATTTGTTTTATTCCGCATCATAATTATGTTTACACTACAGAATTTTGAGCGTGTGATATTACATCAATTTATCCATTGTACAACTTTTTCAAAACAACAAGCTCCGATCACCATCAATAAGGAGAAACCTAAAGGAAGTAGTCTCTTTCACCTATCTAGGCAGGGCAGCATCATTTCAACTACACGAGGCACAGACGAGAACGTCAAAGCCAGCCACGATCGAAAGACCGCAAGACAGGCATTCATCAACCTGTAACCAGTGTGCAGATCTACTTCACTCAGCATAAAGCATGAACAACATCCGGATTTTCAACACCAATACCAGTCAAGTCAGTGCTTCTATGTGATGGTTCAGAGACTTGGCGCGTTATGAAAGGCATTTCCAACAAACTACAGATATTCATCAAGAACTGCCACCTACGCTGGCTCGTTACTGAAGATCAGATGGCGAGAAAGAATAAGCAACAAGGAACTCTGGCTGGCTGCTAACGAACCAAAGAAGCAAGAAGCTATCGCTTAACAAATATGCAGTGGAGATGTATTGGGCATACACTGAGAAGGCCGACTGGGGACATCATGCGCCAGGCCAGGCCAGGCCGTTGAGTGGAACCCAGATGGGAAACGACCAGTTTGGCTTCCGAGGTGAGGGTGACATGTAGGAGATGGTATGAGGAAGAAATGAGAGCTTGTTGGCAGTCGTGGAACCAGGTTGAAAAGATTGCAGAGAATACAGTGTAATGGAGACGTGCTACTGAAGTGGTATGTTCCACTAGGAACCCAAGGATCAAATAATGATAAATAATACAACATTTTTTCAAACATTAACAATCGTCCTGTTTAGCAATATGCAAGAAAGAATAACAAATAACAGGATTATCGAAGTTTTGAATAACTTCAGGGACATGATAACTATTCGTTATTACACAGTTGATTGATAAGACTATGGTGTAATATGATTTTCTACACACAATACACAAGCTAAATAAGCTGGTACAGTTCAGTTTCTCTATGTAGTTGTGTGTGTATAGAGTTTAATATATTTGCTTCTTATCTTGTCAGACAACAGACATGGAGAGAGGTGTGGATGCTGAGGATAATAAGAATAAAAATAATATATTCATCATGGACTGACATCAGTTGGGGAACCACTGAAAATCTGGGAGCACTGGACAGCTGTTTCGTCCAACTAGTATGGAACTCCTCAGCAGCACGCACCCACTACCATTAAGGATCCAACTCACCACCTTCAGGTTTCACGACGACCGCATTAAGCATTCAGCCACTCGGTCGGTCTCCAGTAGTCCACAACTCATCCAGTGGTTGAATGGTTAACGCGTTCGCCGTGAAAATTGAACGTCCTGAGTTCGATCCCTAGTCGAGTCGTAGATGCATACTGCTGAGGAGTCCCAGACTAGTCTGACGAAACAGCTGACCAGTGCTTCTAGACTTTTAATGGTTCCCCAACTGATGTCAGTCCATGATGAATACTACTTCTAAATAACAATAATAATCGCCTTATTCCAAACAATATGTATGACAGTATGGAATTCTCATAATGTAATCTTTCAACAAATACACTCCCAGAACAACAATATTTTCAGATGTAATGATTATTGTATCGGGAAGAATGTTATTAATAATAATAATAATGATAACAGTATTCAAGGCAATAGTGTACAATAGCCACATGGTTCTGGGTGGCTTTCCGGTTCATAATGAGGAATCAACAGAAATACAAACGTAATTTTGATGGTGATGGTTCATTCAGACAGTACAAATATCTGCAACTCAAGCTAAGCATCTTAATGGATAGAAATATAGCGTACTTTTTTGCACCGAAAAGTTGATTCCCATATAACGTAACATTTTTTTTTCTGTTTTGTTATTCACTTGAGAAATGAAGAGTTGGAAAAGGTTTTAAAATGTGCAGCATTACATCGTACATTTAAAAGACATATTTCAATAATTAAAACAAACTGAAAGGAAAGAATTTGATGAAAACTATTCGATGGATAAATTTGGTAGCCCAAGATTCAAGCAGACCGCCACATTATTATTATTATTCTATTATTTTCCCTTGGGTTCCTAGTGGAATATAAGGCTTCAGTAGCACACTGCCACTGCACTCTCTTCTCTCCAGTCTTTCGAACTTAACTCCACGACTCCCCATAAACTTTCATTTCTTCCTCACACACTACATCCCTCATGTCACCCTCGCCTCGGACACCCAACTCATCCTTTCCCATTTGGATTCCACTCGATGACATGGCGTGATGCCTGATGTCCCCAAACCATCTTCTAAGTGTACGTTCAATCCAATCCAATCCATCTCCAATTTCTGCTTCTGCATATTAGTTAAGTGATAGGTTCTTGGTTCGATGCCAGCCAGCCAGAGTTCCTTGTTGCTTATTCTTATTATTCTGGCCACCTGATCTTCAGTATTGAGCCAGTGTAGGTAGCAGCTGTTGATGAATGTCAGCAGTTTGTTGGAAGTGCTTTTCGTAAAGCACCAAGTTTCTGAACCATCACACAGCAGCACTGACTTAACTGACCAAGTGTTGAAAATCCGGATACTGTTCACGCTGCATGCTGAGTGCAGTAGATCTCCATACTGATTTCAAACTGATGAAAGCCTGTCTTGCTGCATTTCCGATCCTGATTTTGACATCCTCGTCTGTGCCACCTGTTGTTGAAACGATGCTGCCTAGGTAGATAGGTAGGTAGGTAGGTGAAAGAGACAACTTACTCTAGGTTTCTCTCGTTAATGGTTATTGGTGCTTGTTGTTGGTTGGATATCTTCTCGACATTCACTTGAAGTCCCGTTTTCGCTGTCCTGCCTCTTCTGTCAACTTGTTGGATTTTGCCTAGAGATCTTCGGGTTTGTGCGACAATATATTATACATAAATCATCATCGTTGGCGAAATCCAAATGTTCTAGGGTCTTCGTCTTTTCATAGGTCAAACAGCGTATGACCATCTCGCTCCTCACAGTTGTTCCTTGCATGATCCTGTCCAG